GACTGCTTTGTCATTGGCAGTCAGTTGCCTTCTCCCATATCCTTATGTGGCCATGGGCTGGGCTGGGGGAGTTAGGGACAAGATCTTGTGATGCTTCTTCTCCATCAGAGCCCACAAATCTCGCTGTGAGGGTCCCAGCACCATGACCAAATCACCCCACAAAGGTTCTGTCTCCAAATGCCATCACATTAGGGATTGAGTTGCATTATTAATTTTGGAGTGATAAATCATTCAACAAATAGCAGTGACTGTTTTAATGAACAACTTCATTATATTTTAATTCTGTACAAAATCTCAAGTTGCCTCTGCATTTCCTCTAGAATAAAAACCAATATTCTTGTAATGGCCCATAAAAGCCCTTCATAACCCAACGTGAGCCAGTCTGACTTCATCTCCAAGTATTCAACCTCTGCTGGGGTGGGCTGAGGCTCGTTGCCCTCCTTGATGGGGTCTGGACGCACAACGGCCTCTGTCTTCGAGACTTTGCGCTGAGCTCTCCCTGTCTGAATATATGTAGGTCTGACCAGCTTGTCTCCTTTGAGGGTTCACTAAGCGGTGCTTTCTGAAAGGCCTCAACCATCCCACGAAAGATCATGACACTAACTTCTTACACTCCCAATAGTACTGGAACATCTCTCTTTTCCATGATTCAGATTACCTACTGATAAACTGTGTTGTTTATTTTTAAATTGCCTGGCTTACTCATGTAGAAAGTAAGTTTCTTAGGAGTGCAGATATTTTGGTTTCTTTTTGTATACAGATCCATGCTGAGCAATCATGTCCAATCCATAAAGAGAATTTAGATACGTATTTGTAAGTAAGTGGAATCTCTGATGCCAGATGTTCTGAAGATCCAGTGCATCCTACTTCAGTCCATTTTTCTAACTTTACACTTGGTAATTTTGTTTCAGGATGGATGGAAATTTGGCATTACTAACATTTGATTTATTTATCCAATTTAAATAAAATATGTTTAGATTTTGAAGTACTATAAATGCAATAAAACAAGTGTTCCAATAGATCACACTATGCTTTAATAGTGTATAAATCATTTAGGTCCTTGATTCATCGGGGAAATTAACTTGTCAGGTAGTTTATGGTTAGTTCTGTATGTGGTGTTAAACCCAAAGAAGTTGCTAAATATATAATGCATAATTCACTTCTGTTGAAAGGCAAGTCAAAAATAATCAGCTTGTTACAGTCAACAAGTGAAAGGAAAATAAACTTTAAAAAATATACCAGAAATTATTAAAATCTCTTAAAATATGTTTTTTCTCTTCTTTTCTTCTGAGTGACTACCTCAGGCCTTTGGGATAATTTCTGCAGCTTGGAATCATGGCATATTACTTTTGGATTTTGAACTATAGCTTCAGGGATAATCTTACTACCTCGAACAATGACAGATATGACAGTGATGCCAAGAACCTGCACCAAGGTAGAGGCCACACAGTACTAGAAGCCAACCAAATCCAAGAATGGCTGCTGGTTACTGCTAGGAGAGCCCTCAGGGGTCAATATTAAAAACGGTAGGGCCGGGGAGATGGCTCAGTGGAATAAGCGCTTCCCTGGCAAGTGCAAGGGCCTGAGTTCAATCCCTGGTTCTGAAAAAAAAAAAAAAAAAAGAAAAGAAAAAAAGGTAGCTGATTGTAAGAGCCAAAGGGTAAGTGTGAAGACAGGACTAGGGTGAAGACAAGATCAGGAACCAAGGTACCGTGGGGGGTGACAGGCCACAGGTGCCAGGGTGCAGGCAGGATGCAGGGCAGCTGGAGGCGGGACCCTGGGTCTCCGAGCCACCTTCTCTGCCCGCTTTCGGTCCTCCACCAGACTGTTGGCCGTTCAGCTCCTCCCTTGAGCCAACCAACTGTGGATTCAACCCACAAGCTCAAGTAGACCTCTCCTTATGTGTGGATGTTGAGTATTGTGTCCCAGTGACAAGAATATCATTACTTTCCTGAGGGCAGCTCTGCACTTAGGTCACCAGGAGAAAGGCACCGAGACCTCCAGTGCGGAGTGAGTGGGTCTTCCAGGCGCCTATCAGTGCCCCTGCAGCCTTTAGACAAAACACAGATCCCAGAGGCTGCTTCCCAAGAGAAGCCAGGGCCTTCAGGGGATCAACGTACATTTAAATACGATTCCCTATAGTCTTTTTGGGTGGATGAAAATTGTCAAGTGCCACTTGGGGTGTTGATGATAAAAGCTCAATGTTAACCTTCTGTACCATGTCAAAGAGAACACTTAAAAGTATATTTACTGTTCTTATGAAATTCATGAGTCAACTCCAAAAACAAGAGATGTTGTCTCCATTAATAGTGAAGATCATCTGCTCATCTTCTACATTTTACCACTTTCTAGTTTCTTGCTTTTCACATGAACATTTTCCAAAATTGTTTTGAACCTCATCGGTGGAGGAAATCTGCCAGGCTCAGTGCCACATAGAAAAAGTTGATACTACATAATCAGTTTGTACTACATCTCTTACATGTGACCCCCCAAAAAATACATTTATGCAATAAATAGATTAATGAGTCAAGCACTATTGCAGGTTTTAGGAAAAGTAGAGAACATGAATTTCACTTCATTACACTTACATGGTGGGATAACTGTTCATACCTTCTCTTCCTACTTGGAGACATTTTTAATCATTTCTTTGCAGTGAGTTTTTTGAGGTGTTTTATTTCGTCTCTTCTTTTTTTTTTCTTTTCCTTCTTGATGCATGTATTTGGTACAGGAATCCTCCTGTTTTCAGTCTCCCCAGCACTGGAATTACAGGCATATGCCACCATGCCCAAACTCAGTTGCCCACTTAGCATGCCCCAGGAGCAGGGCTGTCGTGGCATGAGGGATTGGATTGAACACAGGTCCCTGCACTTGCCTAAGCAGGAGCTTAGGCTGCTGAGCTATTGCACCGGCCCTTATTTTGTCTCTTCTTGTTTTTAGACAGGCTCTCATTGCATAGTTCAGGCTGGTCTCAAATTCACTATGTAGTGAACACCAAGCTTTTGGTGTTCCTCGTGCCTCAGTCTCCCAAGTGCTGGGATTATAGGAGTGTACCACCACACCCAGCATGCAGCAAGTTTCTTAAACTTACTTGTCTACCAAAATCTTGATGCTAAGCAAGATTGATTAGGAAGTCTATGTCTTAAGCAAGATCCCTGTGTGCTAGCTGTGCGCTTACAACATTGCTAATACGAGTGGAACTGTTGTCCTGCTGTAGCATATGCATGAGGAATGGTGACTTTCATGGGCCTGTATCTGTAGAACCCTGTGGGATTATCCCAACATTTATCAACCTTCCCATCCTTGGAGAATGTGAAAGTGCTACCAAGCTGGATTTCAGCCAAGGCACTGAGCTAAACAAGGCACATTTTTTAAAGAATGGCATTTCTTTCTAACCAAATGCCTGTCTCTATCAGATAGATGTTATCATGTGCTGTTTTGTAGTAGAAACTGTTTAAACATTAATTATTATTTATGATCTACAGAATCACAAGATTCATTTTACAGATAACTGCAAAATGGTTGTGATATGGTGTAGGACATGTTCTCCTAAAAAAAAAAAAAAAAAAGGCTTATTGAATGAACCTCAGAATTCATCATGTACAACATAAATAATATTCACCAAAGTACGTTGTGTCATCGTGGTTAATATTCCAAAGAAAACAACCACATGCTAGAAATGCCACAAGGTGGGTGCTCTTCTAACAGCTAACGTAGCCCCAGTGTGTGCCACGAGTGTGTGCCACACGAGTGCGTTCCTGCATGTGTGCCACATGAGGCTCTCAGCACAGATGCTACAACAACTTAGCTCTCAAACTTGTGTATGAGGCATTTCTGGTCATACCCATTCTGCAGATGAGAACACAGATACATATAGAGGCTAAACAACCTGTTTACCAGTAAATTACAGCCAAAGTTAGCATCTTAGCACCAGAATCTATGTTCTTAACCAAAAGATTAACCTATTTCTCCTTAGCTTTTATATTTTTGGGAGCCTTACACAAGGAAATTTCTACTGTTCTATCCAGAAAACAAGAAATAGTTGATTATGGATGGCATCAGTCCCTTAATCTTAATTTCACTTGATTCATTGGTTACAATGAAGATAGCAGTGCTGTTGGATGGGATTATCTGATTAGTAAGTCAAGAATAACACTCTGATGGGTTCTGAATCCCAGTTCTATGCTTTCTTGCAATATGGCACTGAACGAATGACCTCTTCACGTCTTTCCTCGACTTTCAAGTAGAAGTTAAAATGCGGCCTGCATCCTAACATTGCTTACAAATACAACAAGTTGGGCCATTCAGAGCATTTAGAAAGTACTCAGTAAATATTATAGTGTAATAAATAGCAGTGGCATCAATAAACTATGAACCAAATGATCTCTCGACTCTTACACTAGCACTAAAAATAGTTTATTTTTCTTCTAATAAAAAAGCAACCCAAACAATAAGCCATTAAACCAATTATATTTCCTATGAGAAAACCAGAAAGGCTATTGGACCTCCTAGCTCACATGCTATTAGTCAAAAAGTCTGTGTTTCGGCCTTCTGAGGCACCTTGCCTTATGTAATTACCGCGGCTCCCAGAGGGCACAGGGGCGGCAGCCAGTGCTCCTCTGTGAAAAGCTCAATGATTCATTTTATAAATTTCAGTTGAAAGCTTACACTGAGGTTAGGAAAAATTGACATTCAGTTTACGAACTTAATGTCAAGCTTTAGAAAAACTCCGGGCAGCACATGTTTAGCAATTAAGTGGACATAGACAATGCAGACATTGCCAAATTGTGAAACAAGACCTGAAAATCACAGAAAACGTTGCTACTTATTGATTACGGTGGCCATTCAGTTCCTATTGAGCTGCCCCAAAGAATCATTCATTTTCCAGCAGAGAGCCTGCTCATTTGCAAGATAAAAGAGAGGCATTTCTGCACATGCCCATAATGTTATTCGCCACTGGGGGCAGCTTTACATAAGACTGCATTCACTGAAACCAAAGCAACAGTCCGGGCAGCTTTCAGAATGACAGTCTGCAGAAGTGAGCGGAGCGTGTGTGCGGAGAGAGGCTCTCCTGCCTCCCGGGCGCCGACGCGGCTGTGTGGCTGACCGGGTGCTGGCCGGAACCGCTGGGCTATGGAATACAGATGTGGCTGCTCAGGTAGCCCCACGCTATCTGGAGGAATACATCATGCATTCTGAGAAGAAGAAATTGTAGAGACCAGGTTTTTGGTTGTTTTTTTTTAACCCCCTCCGTCAGAAAAAAAAAAAAAAAAACTGTAAAGATGCAAAAACGTAATATCCATGAAGATCCTATTACCTAGGAAGATTTTGATGTTTGGCTGCGATTGCGGTGTTGGGATTTATTTGTTCTTGGAGTGTTCTGCGTGGCTGGTAAAGAATAATGTTCCAAAATCGGTCCATCTCCCAAGGGGTCCAATTTTTCTTCCCGGGTGTCAGCGAGCCCTGACTCACCCCAGCGCAGCTGACAGGGGCTGGCATGCAAGTGGCCCCCAGGCCAAAGCAAAAGACCTGAAGACGACCTTTGAACAGTACAAAGGATGGGTAGGTTTTGCCATTTTTCTTCTTTCATTCTTAAAAAAAAATCAAAAATCTTCTAGTCTGTGTGATAATTCTACCTTAATTATTTTAGAGATTGCCTTGCTCTGATCTAAGACTATAAATTCAGTTGTTTAGTAGACAGGCTTCCTTGTTTTACTATTAAAAAAAAAAAAAAAACTAACACCATCTCTTTAAATTTCAAAGAGATAATATTTGATGTTAAATGTTGCTATCTATATTTAAATTTCTAAAACTGAAAATATATGCCTATTTTTGCTTGATTAAAAATGCATCCTTTTGTGAGGGGATAACTTTTCTAAGTTGTTTTCATTTCCAGGTTTCAATGTAATTAGGCTACTGAGCGGATCAGCGGTAGCACTGGTTGTAGCCCCCACTGTCTTACTGACAATGCTTTCTTCTGCTGAGCGAGGATGCCCTAAGGGCTGTAGGTGTGAAGGCAAAATGGTCTACTGCGAGTCTCAGAAATTACAGGAGATACCCTCAAGTATATCTGCTGGCTGCCTAGGTCTGTCCCTGCGCTATAACAGCCTTCAGAAACTGAAGTATAATCAGTTTAAAGGGCTCAACCAGCTCACCTGGCTGTACCTTGACCATAACCATATCAGCAATATTGACGAGAATGCTTTCAATGGAATACGCAGACTCAAAGAATTGATTCTGAGTTCCAATAGAATCTCCTATTTTCTTAACAATACCTTCAGACCTGTGACCAATTTACGGAACTTGGATCTGTCCTACAATCAGCTGCACTCCCTGGGATCCGAGCAGTTTCGGGGCTTGCGGAAGCTGCTCAGCCTCCACCTGCGCTCCAACTCCCTGAGAACCATCCCTGTGCGAATATTCCAAGACTGCCGCAACCTGGAGCTGCTGGACCTGGGCTACAACAGGATCCGGAGTCTAGCCAGGAATGTCTTTGCTGGCATGATCAGGCTCAAAGAACTTCACCTGGAGCACAACCAATTTTCCAAGCTCAACCTGGCCCTCTTTCCCAGGCTGGTGAGCCTTCAGAACCTGTACTTGCAGTGGAATAAAATCAGCGTCATCGGGCAGACCATGTCCTGGACCTGGAGCTCATTACAAAGGCTGGATCTGTCTGGGAACGAGATTGAAGCCTTCAGTGGACCAAGTGTTTTCCAGTGTGTCCCGAACCTGCAACGCCTCAACCTGGATTCCAACAAACTCACATTTATTGGCCAAGAGATTTTGGATTCTTGGATATCCCTCAATGACATCAGCCTTGCCGGGAATATATGGGAATGCAGCCGAAACATTTGTTCCCTGGTAAACTGGCTGAAAAGTTTCAAAGGTCTGAGGGAGAGCACCATCATCTGTGCCAGTCCCAAAGAGCTGCAGGGGGTCAATGTGGTCGATGCAGTGAAGAACTACAGCATCTGTGGCAAAAGCACCACAGAGAGGTTTGATCTGGCCAGGGCTCTCCCCAAACCCACGTTCAAGCCCAAGCTCCCCAGGCCCAAGCACGAGAGCAAGCCCCCCGCGCCCCCCACTGTGGGAGCCACAGAGCCTGGCCCAGAGCCTGAGGCCGACGCCGAGCACACCTCTTTCCACAAAATCATCGCAGGGAGCGTGGCCCTCTTCCTGTCTGTGCTCGTCATCTTGCTCGTTATCTATGTGTCATGGAAGCGGTACCCAGCGAGCATGAAGCAGCTGCAGCAGCGCTCCCTCGTGCGAAGGCACAGGAAGAAGAAAAGGCAGTCCCTGAAGCAAATGACTCCCAGCACCCAGGAATTCTATGTCGATTATAAGCCCACCAACACGGAGACCAGTGAGATGCTGCTGAACGGGACGGGACCCTGCACCTACAGCAAAGCAGGCTCCAGGGAGTGCGAGGTATGAACCGCTGCGGTACAAGGCACTCTGAGAGGCTGGGAAATAAGCAGTGGCTTATTGCACCCTGGTGCCTGTCGGGGACACGGACGCCCCTCCTCCTCCTCCTGCCCTGGGTCTCCCAGGGCTGGCGAGGTCCTCCCTTGTCTGTCTGAGTGCATTCACAGCACTGGTCGTTTTCCTCCTCCCTTACATAATCAGCCCATTGAGATTTAAATACCATGGCCAGTGTGAAGTGTGAACTCCCTTAACATAATGCCTGTTGTGTAAGGCCCTTCACTGATTCCATTAACATACCAGTTGTTTTAAGATAAAACTTCTTACCTAGGCATCCCCACAACTGCTATCATTTCTCCTTCCAGTAGGACCAGATCTGTAGCTCTAGATGCTTTTTGGTTCGTTTTTAAATCAAAGAAGAGGATAAAATGATCCTGGGTACCTTGAACTCAGCTGGTTTTAGACCTGATTGATTATAGGAACGTTTTAGGGACAGAGCTATGAAAACAATGCCTGGTTAAAATAAGAAAACTGCAGGAAACTATCAAAAGATGGTGCTGAGCTAAGGCAGCCGATGCTAGGGCTGTTTCCAGAGGTGTCTCAGTGGCAGGAAGGCAAGCACAGGGGGAGACTGTGGAAGGGTTAGAAAACTGCAAGTTGACAAATGCAAAATGCAAGGAAATGGCCAAGCACAGAGCTTTCGACTGGAGGACCTACCTCCAAAGCCCTGCCTGGGAAATCTCACTCCAGGTTTCACTGTCAATTCCTTCCACTCTGTGTATGTCCACATATGTTGATTAACTGAATAGCCAAAGAACAAGCAAGTTTGAGGGGCAGCTTTCCTGGGCTCCTCATGTGAGGGAGTTTTCAGAGATGAGATTTTCCAATGAGATGAAGGCTTACTACATGCTTGTGGTTGGGACCTTACCAGAATTTCTCCAGGATTTCCAGAGCCCCAGTAGCTGGTGGAGTCATTGCTGCTCTGCTCAGGATCAGTCCTGTGCCCCTCCATGGTGTGCCCAGTCGATGCCTGTCCCCTACTGACTGGCACTCCATTCACAAGTGCAGAGAACATATTCCAAGACGTGTTGCCAGCAGCCTCACTGAGAATGATGAGGGCACCTTAGCAAATGCATGCACTGCACCCGTGGGTGACGCGTGGTGCTTTCAGTCCTCCTTTGCTTTGCTGCTGTTGGCACTGCCGTGCCCTGCCCATCTGTGCTGTAAACTCATCTGCAAGCACAGTTCTGCAAGCTGCATGCATGTTCTTGTGCCGCTGGTGAAAGTTTATTGACTGCAGAACAAATATCATAGTCTCTATACTTAAGTAATATGAACTACAGCCCACTGAGATTTCCAAGACAGGGCTCTCATCTGTATCCTCTATCATCCTCCAAAATGAACAGTTTTATTATGGGAGCAAAAATTAAGAATTGCCACATTGAGGCTCTTTCCTTTAATTTGATTTGCCCAGCCTCCCTGTTCTTTCAAAACAGAATCGCTGCAGCAAAAAGGAGCCAGTGAATGGCTGTTTCTGCCAGGACATTATACAGTTTGGAGGCTTCCATCGGCCAAGAGGGAGGTTCTGGGCAAGTCACCATGAGGGAGAGATGCAGGGAGCCCAGGGAGCCAAGCCACCTCCAGCAACAAGAAAGGGAGAGCGGCACCCAGAGTGGACTTTGCTAGGGGCCTTGATTTTGACTAAATCTTAAGCTAGATGCTGGTCGGAAAGCATCATAGATACACTTGCTGAGTATACATTTAGTAAAGGAGTCATGCATTCCCGACAGATTAGTGAGGCAAGTGCTTTCGTATAGTACCATCCACTGGATGACCGAGCTCACTGGGACAGTTTTACTGAAGCTGTGATTGTGTATTTTTCATAAACTATCAGTAGACACACAGTCCATCGAAAACCCAGATTTTCTTTGGTGAGCCTCATTTTTATCTGTACTAAAGATGATTGCATTAAATGCGGCATTGAAGCAAAAAAGCCCATTTCTATTCTTTGACTTGACCTTCTGCTTCAGTTGTGATGGGTCCTAAATACATTCAGGCACGGCATACTTATAGTGTTGAATTCTTGCACAATATCAGTGCTGTGGTGATATTTGCTGTATTAAAAAAGTATTTCTAAATCAAAGCCACCAGCTGTGTACAATGTGACATAAAAATAAATGAATGACAATATTTTAAAGCCGGTCATTTTTTATTGCCCAGCTTTACCTAGAAATTTAACAGACAAGATTAAAAACAACAGTACCCCTTCCAAAAGAAAACTGATTCAATTCATGAAATTAGATGAGAAAACTCTTTCCCACAGCCCCCACAAGCCACGGAAATCGCTCTTCCCGGGTTCCCAGGGTCTAGGAGAACAAACGCAGGACTCCCGTGCCTTAGACGCCGCTGGGAGTACTGCAGAGCCCATGGTCCCTTGAATCCGGAGTCCTCCTCTCGCCCAGCCTGTAGCCCTTGCCGCACTCTGTCCCTTAGGGCCATGGCTCTAAGTATGTAGAACTCATTGTATGTAAAGGACGTTAATGGGCTCATTTTCCTCCCGCCAATCTCCACAGAGCCTGGGCTTCCTCAGAGGCAACCGCAGCTCCCCAAGAGCCCTGACCTGTGGGACTCACGCAGCACTTCAGTGCCTTTTATACCAGAAAGGAAATGGAGTTTGGTCTACTTGAGCTGCATGTGTTTCGGGCTTTGTTTTTCCCCCATCTTCCCAGCCTCAGCATGCACAGTGCTGCTGAAGTACAGTCCCAGCACTAGGCCCCAAGTAATACTGACGCGAGATATGCTCATTTTAATGAGTTAGTATTTTCCAGTGATGTTGTCATTACATGTTTGCAAAAATTTAAACCATTTTTACTTGATTCTGTGAATCAACTACCTAGCCGGGCTAGTCGGCGTTGCGGTTCCGTGGAGAAGCAGTGATCTCTAGTGGTCACTTGTAAGAACTACAGTTACTCATGCTCGCTTTAGCTTTCTGGCCTGACTCCTTTGGTGAACGTGGTTTGCAATACATGTAGGTTTTAGCTATACACAAGATTTTAATTTTACTCACTTTTCTTGGAAATATAATTGCTATGTAACTTTGCAAGTTTCTATTCCCCATTGACTTTTTTAGTAATGCCAGCGATGGGCCATAGAACTGATGCCGAGAGCTAGAAATGTGTCCCCAGATGAAAAGCAATTAATAATGAACTACGAATGGATAAGAAATATTTTAAGCTGTTTACACTAATGCATATTGTGAAAAACTGATGCGGTATTTTCATTAAATGCATTTTGCCATAAGACATAATATTAAAATCTAATGCACTTTGGGTTGGGAAAACAAATTTCATAATTAATGCTGAGCAGCTGGCGGGGCGCCCCTACGGCTTCAGGAGCCATCAGGCGTCCGGCCTGGCTTCGCCTGAGCTTGGTCCTTTCCGCCCCTTTCCACTGAGCGCCTCCTCCCTCCTGGTAGGCTCTTGGCCCAGGGCGTCTCCATCTTATGCGGATGAGCGGAAAGATGCTGTCCGTCTAGGAAAGGTGACCAGACTCAGACCGAGGTGTGGCAAGGGCCTTCAGGCGCTCTGGGTGCACAAAACACCTTCTCTTCCCTTGACACTTACCAAATGAGAATCCCGACAGTGTAAGTAAAGAGGGGCTGAGACCGCGCAGAAGTGAGCGCCAGGCCAGGCAGCTGGAGGCAAAGTGCGCTCCAGACGTGCTGGATGAGCGCGGAGCGTGGGCAGCGCAAACCCAGAAACTGGCGGATCTCTCCTGGTTCTCCTTTCCCCGGATCCTCATTAGAACTAGATCTGAGCGGGCCTGTGGAGCGCCCCTTGCCTGCATGCTCTTCACTGCCTACAGGAACATAGAAGGCAGTTGGGGGAGTACAAGGGCCGAGCCCAGCAAAAGTGCGTGGCAAGCCAGGAGGATCTACAGAAGCGCGCCGAGGTCTGGGTGTGTGGGGCTTTCAAAAACCGATTTTTAAAAAGTGAGAGTGGGCGTTTTCCCACTTATAATGCTGTGCAGAGCTGGACCCACGCGGTTCTTACCCTCTGAATTCATTCGTGATTCAGGTAGCTGAACACAAGACAAAGAGAATACTATGGGGAAAAACTATGAAAGTAATTCCGCTTCATTTTAAAATATAGTCATAGGCATCTATGGCAGCATGTGAGTCTTAGAAATCAGGGTTTAAACTCAAGTTTTCTCTTACACTTCCTCAGCCGGGTCTTGGGCGAGTTTCCTAGTTTCTCTAAGCCTCACAACTCCTGTGTGTGCACAGTAGGTCTTTGCTCCTGGCTGCTCATCCGGGAAGCGCCTGGCGAGCTCTAGAACCGAGACCGGGCCTTCCCAGACCGCTGGCTGGGCTCAGGCGCACGTGCAGACAGCTGGCCGGCGCTGCGCCCCGGGACCTCGCCGGCCTCCGCCCCTGTCGCGGGTTCCCCAGTCTCTTCACATCAGCATGAGCCTGGCGCTTAGGCTTTCGCCGCTTCGTCCACACAGACACGGACTCTACACCCCGTGCTGTCTTGGATCTTATTGATTAATGATTCCAGTGTACGAAAGACGCAATGACACTGGCCAGAGAAGGCTGAAGGAAAAACTCAAAAATCTTTATTTCCAAAGTTCTAGTTGGGCTCCAAGTGAGGTCAAGGGCAAGCGCTTTCTTGGGGAGGAGGTTTGGGTCTGTCTGTCCGTTTCCTCTCCGCATCACTTTTTCAGTCCTTTTTGATTTTAGACGATATAAAGCTTATCTGGCAAAGGATGTCACTACAGAGTGACGGAAGTCCTTGCTCACAGCGGGTCATGAAATTCGTGCACACTGCAGGTGTCAAATCAGCACTGTGGTTGCTCTCCCACAGCCACCCTAATGAATGACCTCCTCGGAGACGTCCTCCTAGCATAAAATCTACTATCGGCTTCAGTCTTATAATCATTCAGAATTACTGGGATTAAAAAGAAAAGGTAGCCAGGCAGAAAGGCACAAGCCTGTAAGCCCAGCT